TTACTTCTGTAATAATCTTGAATTTTACTTTCATGGAAATTAAACCATTATTTTAATTCCTAGAATATGCTCTTGCATCATCAACTTGATTCTCCAAAATATATTCAAAATCAATTAACTTGATCAATCCATAAAATTCAGTTCTATTATACTACCTCCGGTCCTTAATATAAGAGTCAGCTTGACGTTTGATTTTATTCTAAATATAAGATCCTAATTCACTTTATTTCTCATATTTATCCTCTTTTTTTTAAGTAGTCATGGTGGTAGTTACATATGTTAAAGTTTCCATCAAATGGTTGTTTTAGCTAATACTATCTCCGGTCCTTAATATAAGATCTCATTTGACTTTTATTTTGATCCTAAATATAAAACCCAAATCCACTTTGTCTCTCATATTTATACTTTTTTTTTCAAAATAATTCTTCTAATAATAGTAGTTCTAGCCAATATAATTAGTTAGCAAGGATATTTTAGGAAAAACAACACCTATTCATTACAAATAATTAACTGACTTATTTTTTTAATCTCCTCAAATTAGTCAATTAGTTCTCATAATTAGGACCGGAGGCAGTACATACGATTATCAAAGGTATTCTAGGATGACACCTATTCAATACAAATAGCTAATTTAAGAAATTTTCTTAATCTATTTAAATTAATCAACTAACTCTTATATTAAGAATCAAAGTTAGTACCTTAAATAGATGCACACCTAATTTTTGGAAGATTAACTTTTCTCAAGCATGCTTTTATAGTGGAGATGAGAATGAAATTACTGGAACTTGAGCATTATATTATCTCCATCTCTTTATTCCAATGATAACCTTCGCAATATACTCTAGTATAGGGGAGAGATTTTGGTCTGCAGGACAGTGAGAGCCAATAAGAGACACTCTTCAGTATCAACTCAAGAACAAATTCCAACAGCGCCTTTTGATTGTGGAGGGTTGGATGAACTACTCTTTCCAATTGTAACAGCTAGAATGCATTTTGCTTTTAGATAAGGCTCTTTGTTTTTTTTTTTTTTTAAAGCTGACATAGATCGTGGCAAATTTTAATTGATTATGTTGTGATTCTCTAATTCCTTCTTCTCATGTCAGGTGCTAGTATAGCTGGGGAGGACACTAGCAACTCTGCATGCTGGTTGGTACTAGGAAAATTAATGAAGGGGAGGGTTGGGGGGATTTCCTTTTCAAGATTGTTTTCGTTGGTGATTCAGCTGTTGGGAAATCAAATTTGCTTGCCAAATTTGCTAGGGACGAGCTTTGTTTTGAACTCAAAGTCCACTATGAGTATAACCTGTTTAGCTGCTTTAGTTATGATGATAATAATAATTTCGTGAGAAGTATCATTTTTCTGTATTTCTACCTACAACTATCAGTTCTAATGGAAGGAGTTTTAATCGCTTAAATTAGTAGTTTTGAGTTCGTAATGCAAGAACTATTTTTGAGGGCTCAACAATGCTCAAATTTGACTCAGTCAAACATAAGAACCAACAAAAACCTTAAACCTGATTAAATTTTTTGGGAAATTCAACCATACTTGCAAATATATGTGTCCCTAGCAATGCATTTAATCTCTTTAATTATATATCTGCATTATCCCACAAAAAAAAAAAAAGACATTCTCTCTGCTTATCAGTCAAGAGGAATATATTTGGAGAATTCAAGCTTCATTATATCCCCAATTCCTCATTATGCTGCTTCAGAAATTTCTGCTGCAGCTGCTTTGGCAAAATTACACTTAAATTCAGTTGAATATTTCATATTATACCATAGAGAACAAGTCCCGATATTTAATAAATGGACTTATTATCTAGAAAACAGAGTAGAAATAATAGGGGTGTCCAATTTGTCTTATCCCCATTTTGGTCCCGATCACTTTGGGAAGGAAAAAAAAATTTTTCGGGACAGGACAAGATGTTGAACGGGACGGGATGGGACTCGTCTGGGGATATGTGATAATTTAAAATTTTTTTACAAACATAATTAAAAAAATACCAGGAGCCCAATAAACTTGTCCACTAATTTCAAAGGCCCAAAGTAAACTTGTCCATATTTTTTTTTCCCTGGCCAACAGTGTTAGACCCAAAAAAACAAGAAGGAATTTTTAATTATTTTTTGTTTAGGCCCGAAAAAAATCATAAATTATTAGACCAAAAACTGAATTTGAAAAAAACAAATGACAGGACTTTACAGGATGGGACAGGACATGAGACAAAAATTCCATCCCGTGAACACCCTTAGAGATACATAAATCTAAATTGGTTATATAGATTCAATATGAATAAACGCAAAAATAATCAAATTACATGATAATTAAAAAGTCAATGGTAAACAGTTAAGAATAATTTAAGAAGTAATAAATTACTATTATCGTTAAATTTAAAGTTTTTTGTTTTTGGCTTCATCGTTAAACTTAAAGTTACGCAGTTGATTGCTTGCGGGAGAATACGTTAGTATCACGATGCTACATGAACAGCAGGCTTTACAGATAAATTAATTTCGTTAGTGAATAAGTAGTATTTTTTATATGAAATTTAAAATTTAAATCTAAAACAAACTAAAATTATTAAAAATATGCTTTTCTTATTTAGTTGTTTTGAAATTTTATGATATCCGTATACATTTTCATATTTTTATTGATATCCTCCTCATCTATCACATCTAATTATTTTGATTTGGATGGCTTCTCAAAATAATTAGAAACCTATTTTTTCAGATCCTTACATTTTTTTAAAAATTTAAAACATGAAATAATTTAATAATTTTTTTTAAAAAAAGGTGATTTCCTTATGAAAGAAACTTCCGTACATTTTGGTTGGAAGGTTTTGGAAGGAAGGGAGAGGGAGGGAATGAGAAATTGTGTTTGGTTTAGAAAAATAGAGGGGAGGGAAGGAAAAAATAATTTCTCTCTTAGTGCTCCCTTCATCTCTTTCTACTTTATCTAAATTTAGGGTTTTTTGGAAAGGAGAAAAATATTATGTCTTATCCTAACTAAATTATCAGTTTTTAAATATTTCAAATTTATCCTTTTCAGTAAAAACTTTTTCTTAACTTTTTCAGCTGTTATTTTTTTAAATTCCAAGTTTATCATTTTCAATAAAAACCCTTTTAAATGACATTTGATAATGATGATATAATATGTTTATTATAATTGTACTATTTTTCTTAATATAATATGACAAGTATATAATTTTTTATGATATGTATATTTGATAATGATGATATAATATTTTTTATGATATGTAAATATTTTATGCATGTGAGATACTTTTTTTTATATTCATAAATTAGAAAATAATAATTCTAATATAAATCTAGAAATAAAATAATTAAAAAAAGACATATTTGTCAATTTATAATTAGTTCTCCTCTCCTCCCAAGCCAAAACCTTTCTTTCTTTTCCTTTTCTTCCAACCAAACAACACTCATAACCTCATCTCACCTCCACTCACCTTCACTCCACTCCCCTTCCTTCCATTGAACCAAACTAACAAATAGTTGGTCTAACAGTGTAAGACCCTATTAGATTTCTTTGGATCTTGAGTTCGAGTCCTAAAGAAGACAATTTTATAGAGAGGAAAAGCCACCAACCTTAAATTTCTCAAAAGAATTAGAAATCTACTTTTCAGATTCTGATTATTTTAAAAAATTAAAAACATATGCTCTTCTTGTTTAGTTATTTTGAAATGCTATGATATTTGTATGTTTTTTCATATTTTTATTGATATCCTTCCTCATCTATCACATCTAATTATTTTGATTTGGATGGCTTCTCAAAATAATTAGAAATCTATTTTTTCAGATTCTTATTATTTTAAAAAAATTAAAAAAAATGAAATAATATAATAAATTTTTTAAAAAGATGATTTTCTTATGAAAGAAACTTAGATAAATGGGCACTGAGAGTTATAATTAACAATTAATATACACGTGTGTGACCAACAAAAAGTTGATCTAATAATGTAAAGTCCTATTAGATCTTTTTGAGTCTCAGAGTTCGAGTTCTGAAGAAAACACTTTTGTAAGGGAGGGATAGTCATAAACCTTGAACTTCTCAAAATAATTATAAATCTATTTTTCACATTGTGATTATTTTAAAAAATTAAAAACATATGTTTTTTTGTGCCAACGATTAAAAACATATGTTAAAATTTAATAAAAGTATTTTTGTTTAAAAAAGTGATTTTCTTATTGATAAACTTAGATACACGGGCCTAAAAAATTAGAATTAAATTAATGTGTGTATATGCAATACACTACTTCTTGAAATTGAGTCAAAGCAATTGAAAAAGTTATTAAAAATGACTCTCCTTTTATGTGAGTGTGACTACAAACAACTCTATTCTATTTTATGAGTGTCATGTGAATCCGATCACAAAAATTAATTACTAATTTTAAAAATCTCAGTAAGAGCGTTTTACTCTATTTTATGAATTACATAAATTTGATAAAATAAAAATTATACTACTATAACTTAAATATAATTTCAAATAATAATAAATTGTATGTTTATATGTAAGTATATGTAAAATCAAAAAACGATGAAACCCATGATAAATAACATACTATTATGAAGGACACAAACAATTTTATAACTGAATGAAATCAATATGGAAAAATGTAAACAAATGCAAAAGGATCTAAATATTTTCATAAGAAGGTTTTAGATTTAATACCGGACTCTATCAAAATTTTATAACAAATTTTTCTTCTTCATCTATATAACTCCATCAATATTAAACTTATCTATAAAAACAATATCTGGATTTACTGCTTTACTGAATCAGGATATCTTAGGGATAGAGTCATAGAGGTACATCTTTATCCACACAAAAAAAAAAAAAAAACAGAGAGATAGAGATTTAGTGAATAAACTTTAAATTTTAAAATATAGTGTTGTATTTCTATATCTCAGTCCTAATCCCTATATATATAACCTGCCGACTGGAGTAAATTAAAGATCACAAGTAGTGACTTGAGCAATTAAGAAAGATGGGATTCTTTAGAGTTACAATTCTCTTGGTTGTCCTCTTTTCTTTTGCTTTTCATGCTTTTGCTGATGACAATTCAACTCCTTCCCTGGTTGTCAATGCTCAATTTGGAAGGAAAATTCCAGAAACATTTTTTGGAGTATTTTTTGAGGTGAGTATATAAGTTCTCTCTGTATGTATAAATTTTTATGCAAATTTTGAATTATATAAATATGATTGATTATTTGTTTTTCTTTAGGAGATTAACCATGCTGGATCTGGAGGATTATGGTCTGAGCTTGTTAATAACCGAGGTAATTATTTAACTTTTAACTTTTAATTTGTTTATTAACAGTAGTTTTTTTGCTGGAAAATCACAAAAAAAAGACCTTGAAAATTGAAAAATTGCATATGAGGACCTGTTTACAAAAACTATTGTCATTTGCTTATTAATTGTTGTCCAAACTCATACTAATGTTGTAATGGGTCCTTATTTATAATTTTTCTTTTTTAAGATTTTTTTCTTTTGTGATTTTCCCTTGTTTTGTTGGTTTAAGCTTAACTATACATTGATTATGCTTATGTCCACATCAAGGTTTTGAAGCTGGGGGTACTCAAGTTCCCTCAAACATATTCCCATGGTCGGTTATTGGAGATGAATCAACTATAAGGGTTGCAACAGAGCGTTCCTCTCCTTTTCCGCGCAATGAAATTGCCGCAAGATTGGATATCATCAAAGATTCCTCAATTGGAGTTGGTCTTTCTAATCCTGGGTTTTGGGGCATGGTGAGAGAGAGAGATATATATATATATATATATATAACTTCAATTTCAATATTTGACTTTATAACCTTTTTTCATATACTATCATTATTTTGACATTTTATTTTTATGTTTTATTTCTTCAGAATATTGAGGAGGGAAAGAAATATAAGGTAGCTTTTTATGTGCGAGCACCAAAACCAGTTGATTTGAAAATTGCGTTCGTGGGAGCAGATGGAAAAGAATTGGCTTCTACTAACATTAGGTATTTAGGTTATTAATCATAACTTTTAATTTTAATTTTCCGATGATTATCTTCTCATACATATAATACAATACATAATTTATTTGTTTTTTTTTCCCCTTTCCTATAGAAACCATCTCCCAAAGTGGAAAAAGATAGAGCTGCTTCTTGAGTCTAAAGCATCAGACTTTAACTCAAGCCTCCAAATAACAACTACCAAACAAGGGACTTTTTGGTTGGATCAAGTTTCTGCTATGCCTCTAGATACACACAAGGTTTGAGATATTTCATTTTAACTATACAAAATGATGCTATTGTTTTTTGTAAGACTGAGTTAACTTTCTTTTGATTCAGGGGCATGGTTTTCGGAAGGATCTTTTTCAAATGGTTGCAGATTTAAAACCAAGATTTCTTAGATTTCCTGGTATACATATATAAAAAGAATGACTATAAATCATATATTATTTGGATCTTATTATAACTATGTTTTCCATCTCAATTCATATATTAGGTGGTACCTACATTGAAGGAGATAGGTTGAGAAATGCATTTAGATGGAAAGATAGTGTTGGACCATGGGAGAAAAGACCTGGTCACTTTAATGATATATGGGGTTATTGGACTGATGATGGCTTTGGATATTTAGAATTTCTTCAAGTATGTAACTTTTTAAATTCTTCTTAATTATGGTCTTTCTATTTTATATATATTTACATGCATATTCATATGGTATTTTTGTTATTCTTGAACAGCTTGCAGAGGATCTTAATGCACTCCCAATTTGGGTATTTAACATTGGTATTAGTCATCGTTATGATCAAGTCAATACATCCAACATTGGTCCTTTTGTGCAAGTATAAATTATAACTTTAATTTCCATATTTTTCTTGATAAATTTCATTTTTTGTTCTTCATTGGAAATACCATTTCAATTTATTTTATTTTTAGGAAGCTTTAGATGGAATTGAGTTTGCAAGAGGTCCAGTCACATCAAAATGGGGCAAATTAAGAGCTAAACTTGGACATCCCAAACCCTTTGATCTACGATATGTTGCTATTGGAAATGAAGATTGTGATAAGTCTAACTATGTTGGAAACTACCTCAAGTTCTATGATGCTATCAAACATCACTACCCCGATATGAAAACCATCACAAATTGTGATGCTACTCAAAGTCCATTGGGGATGCCTGCTGATTTTTATGACTATCATAAATACACATCTTCCAAGGATATTTTCTCATTATACAACTGGTTTGACCATCAAAATCGTACTGGTGCAAAAGCTTTTGTTAGTGAGTATGCTGTTTGGCAAGGTGACGCGGGAAATGGAACACTTTTATCAGCATTAGGTGAAGCTGGATTTCTAATGGGTTTAGAAAAGAATAGGTTAGTTAATATTTTTTTGACTTTAATAACAATTAATTATGTATTGATCTATTTCTTCTTCTTCTTCTTTTTTTAACTTCATATTCAAAGTTTTTGCTAATTCTTCCTACCTTTTGATACAGTGATCTAGTCGAAATGGTTTGTTATGCACCACTTTTTCTGAATACAAATGATAAAGGGTGACCCTTCATTTTCTTTTTTACTTTTCATTGTATATATTATTAATCCTTGTGTCAAAAATATTGAAAAGTCATAATTTTTATGAACTTGCAGTTGGTTGCCTGATGCGATAGTATTTGACTCTCATCGACATTATGGAATTCCAAGCTACTGGTTGCAACACCTATTTACCACATCAAGTGGAGCTACATATTTAGATTCAAAACTTGATGCTCCAGCCACACTAATTGCGACTGCAATTAAGTGGCAAAATCAAGAGACTAAGAACAGTTATTTAAGAATCAAGGTAATGTATATATAAATGTTAATATTTTTTAAATTTAATTAAATGATTATACAAGCCTTATGTTTCACTCAATCTAATTAAGATATTTTTGATAATATATAGGTGGTAAACTTCAACAATAACTCAACAAGTTTTAAGATGACAATAAATGGTTTGGATGGAAATGTGGATTTTAGTGGTGCAACAAAGACAGTACTCACATCCAAGAGCGTATGGGATGTGAATAGTTTTGATGAGCCTAGAAAGGTAAGCAATATTTTATTCTCCATTTCAACATTTTGCCATTTGATAACATTAATTAATAATTAATTACTTAAACTAAATAAAAGTATTTCAAAATTATCCTTATATACTTATATTATTTTTTTTTTCTTTTTGTGTAGATTGTACCTACACAGAGCCCACTTGATGATCCAAGCAGAGAAATGCTGGTCACAATCCCAGCAAATTCAGTCACAGCATTTGATTTTCCTCTTTCTTAGTTAAAAGTTTTTATTTATTATTTTAGAATTTATTTGTTTTCTTTATCTTTTAATGATAAGATTAGGATTTGATTTCAAATTTTAATTTGAATTCTTTTGCTATTTTTTAGTGCTTTATAAATAATTTTAGAGTTTTTTAAGATTTGATTTCAAATTTTAATTTGAATTATTTTTTATTTTTAGGACTTTATAAATAATTTTAGAGGTTTATAGTTGTGCTCAGATTTATTGAATGGAGTTCTTTTTATTTTCCCAACCTTCTCCCCCTCTTTTCTCTCTCTTCCTCATTTCTCTTATTTTTCCCATTTATGACTTTCCCTTTCACCTGGCCACCCTTGAGGTGGAGTTCAATTTATCACTCTCATTTATTTTATACGGAACATTTGAGGGTTTTTTTAATCTGGTAATTAAGACGTTAAAATATTAAAAAATTGATTTTAAAGGTATCTCAAAATGCACTTAATTAGTATAATAGATAATAATTGATCAGCTCGATAGACATTCATCTTAATGTTTTACAATCGATGGGTTTTTAAAACAATATCAGGGATTCAAACAACTTCGATGCTGGGTGATGAGTGAAATACACGTGTATAAATGAATTGATGCATTTAATAATAAATATCAAGTTAGAAGGTAGAGACTAAAAGAAAACAAAATAAATTATGTTAACAGCTTATAAGATAATGGTAAGTTATATTTCTTGAAAATGTGTGTGTGTTTTAGACTCAATAGCAATTTTACACACATCTTATGTCTAAAGTATTGTGAGAATTTACTAAATATTGGAATCAAATAAAGATTTTCAATTCTTTGGAATGCCTTGAAAAAAATGGTAACCTAGAAAATTTTTGTAGGACTAAAAGAAAAAGATATTCTTTGTTTTACAATTGTTTAATTATTTTTCACCTATGATCTTTGTCCTTTAAGAACCTTTAATTGTGAAAGTTATAGGGGATTATTATTTTTTAGTATTTCAAAACAAAGGTATACAAAAAATTTGGAATATAACCTTTGTATATAACTCTGATATGTAGAGAATCAAATGAAGTGAGGGCTTGATATGAACGCATACAAAGGTTTTAAATATAGGTGACAATGAAGAGAGCATTTATCCAAACGCTAAAAATTCTTCCCTCAACTTTTTCTAGCTCAAGAATTAATCTCTAAACTCATATCAACATTTTATAGAAGCTACTACCCATACTCATAGTCATTCACTATGGTCTTGAATAATCATTATTCTTTAATCAGAGTGTTTCACTCTAGTAATTTATATTACTATTCCAAAAAAGAATTTCAAGAAGCAGCTAGTTATTACTATGAAATTTCCTCCTAATTCTACTTCTGTTAAGGTTATTATAGGAATCAGAACAATAACTACCAATTCATTAGTTAAAATATTTTAAAAGTAAAAAATCAATAACTAACCCCCCATGAGGTAACATGATGGTTTTTCCAAAACAAAATAGTTTCTAACCAATTAGAAAAACGAAGTAAATAAAAATAGAGTGTTTAATAAAGAGAACACAGGGACCATATTATTTTTTATATTTGTTTTCTCTTCTTTCCCCCTTCTCCATGTGGTTCCCCCTCCCAAAAAAAAAGATATCTATAATAATTAACTCGTAATCTATACACGCAAACATGTTTCTCTTTGTAAACTCAATGATTTTACTTAGTGTTTGTGTTTTCTCAGGTTGTTGCAGAATAATGACAAAACAAATACAATTCCTACAGAACTAGGGAAGCTTTCAAAGCTGCAACCTTTAGATTTGTCAAATAACTTGTTCAACGGGGAAATTCCTGCCTCTTTAGGCCACGTGGGCAAGCTGCAATACTTGCAATTGAGCATTTATGATCTGATTCTAAGACACCGAACATTTCAGTAACATTCTTCAGATTTTGTGTGAAGCTTTATATTATTACAATGGTTTTCGTTTCAGGAGGCTCAATAATACCACTTCCGGTCCTTAATATAAGAGCTAGTTGACTAATTTGAGTAGATTAAGAAAATTAGTTAGATTAGTTATCTGTAATAAATATATGTTGTCTTCCCTAAAATATCCTTGCTAATTAAATATCATTTGATGAGACATTTAATATGTGCCATTACTACAAGGATTATTCTAAGAAAAAAAAACAAATATGAAAAACAAAGTGGATTGGGGTCTTCTATTTAAGACCAAATTAAAAGTCAAACTAACTTTTACATTAAATACCGAACGGAGTAATAGTCTTTCCGGAGAATGTACAGACTCACAGGTCAACATAACACAACTTGCTTTTCTATAATGTTTCTTGGCTTCTTCTTTGGAACTCAATACATAGCTTCTGCAACTTCCTTTTCCCACCTTAAAGATGGTTTCTTATTTTATGATATTCATTTCAGTGACTTTCCCACAACAATCTAAGTGAGCCTGTGCCTAGAATTTAGATAAACACCTTTCTGGTGGTAAACAGAAAATTGAGTTGTGATTATTGAGTGCTAATATTTTACTTCAGCATTGTTGGAAATCCCGTCACTTGTGGTACTGGGAAAGAAGAAACTTGCCATGGGATGAGGCAGATGCCTACGTCCATGAACTTAAACAATACCCAAGGTAACCTATTTTAAGTATGTTATTGTTATACATATAACTCTCCTAAGTTCTATTGAAAAGACAGATTTTTCTTCCATTTTCAAAATTGATAGAAATGTCTGGAAATTTTAAAATTACATACACCTAGGTTTTCTTTTTATTTTTGAAACCTAAACAAACTTCTATTGAATCAAAGAATACCCATGAATTTTTATCCATTTAATTTCAGTAAAACTTATGGGAACTAGATGTAAATTTGCTTTTGCTTGTAGTATTCAATTTGTGACTTTCCTTGTTGATATCAATCTATTTCCTTCCCCAGATGCTCAACCTCCTGGCAGACCAAAAAACAGATAAAGTGGCGATTGCCTTTGGTTTGAGCCTAGGATGTCTCTGTCTCATAGTTGTTTAAGCATAATCAACATGCATTCTTTGATTGAAAGGTAAAAACACAATACGATCCAATACAGTATAAGATTGTCCTAAACAAGATAACAGAACATGTCTAATCTTGGGATGTTTTAGGCATTACAAAAAAATTGACTTTCAGCGGCGACAAAAAGTCACTGTTGAAAGTATAAAAGCCACTGCTAAAAAGTTGTTGTTGTAGCAACCGTGGCTGAAAACTTTCAGCAGTGACTAAGAAGGTCACTGCTGAAATACACTTTCAGCGGCGACTTTTAGAAGTTTCAGCTAAAAGACACTTTCGGTGGCGACATTCTTGTCGTCGCTAAAAGACTTTTCAGTAGCGACAATTTTTTGTCGCCAAAAGGGATGTTCAGCGGCGACCTTTTTGTCGTCACTGAAAGTAATGCCTAAGAAGAATTGACTTTACCAACGCTACGTCATCACCGCCAACCGCCACATCATCGTCGTCGGCTGCCACATCATCGCCGCTGACCGCCACATCATCACTAGCCACCTCCACGTCATTGCCACATCACTCCTCCCCGCCACGTCATCGTTCAAATATCTTCACCTTAAATGTGTCTTCTTCAAGGTTCGAACTCGTAATCACCTCCTTTCATGTCCAATCTTCTTGCCGCTGAGCCAGATTGAATTTGTGTATTAATATTGTAAAATAAAATATATATTATTATATTACACTTTCAGTGGCGACATTATAAAATCACTGCTGAAAGTCAGACCTTCATCAGCGATACTGATAGTCGCCGCTAAAAGTCTACTTTCAACGGCGACCATAGAATGTCACCGCTGAAAGTAAACCCAATGATTTTCAAAAGTATACTTTCAGCGGCAACAAAAAAAGTCACCGCTGAAAGTCATCACCTAAAGTCTTTTTTTTTTTTTTGTAGTGAGATCATCATCAAGAGGTAGTGTGTTTGGGAAACTTGATTTGCTTCATGTATAATCTATAATACTTCATATCTACTTCTCTCCGCAAAGTCACTGTCATCCCATTGGCAGATGATATTAAAGTTTTAGCAAATGCCATTGATTCAATCTGCTAGCAATGGTGGGTTGTGCTCTATACTCTATACTCCCATATGAGAACTTTGGCCATCTCCAACTTCAGCAGATTTTAGTCAATAGTTAGTAATGTTTTGGTCCTAATAAAATCAAATTTACTACTCCCTTCGTTCCTTATTATAAGAGACATTTGATGCTTATAGCATGTTCCTATATATAAGAGACACTTAAAAGTTGTCTCTATTTTTTTGTGTTGATTTCCTATTTTACCCATATTTATTGTCTCCAACTCACACTCTCTCTCCTTCCCACTTCTCTTTCTTTTAATAATTTACTATTGTTCTCTCTCATGTTCTCTCTCCTTATTAATGAGGGTATTTTTGGAAAAGAAATTATACTTTTTACACATTGATTGTTTTTAACTAATTTTAACTGTTTTTTTTATCAACATAATTCGGTTATTCGTCTCTTATAATAAGGAACGGAGGGAGTACCTTATATGTGTGCGCGCGCGCCTGGAAGATGTGCAACGCATGGAGGAAACAGACGTTGAAGTCTATATAGATTTGATTTCTTGGTCAAGCTTGTAGGGTAATCATGAACCCCAACTTGTTGAATATGCGCCACTTGGTTTACCATTTGTTTTTTTTGGCATTTCAGTAAAACTTAGTTAATGCCTTTTGACTTTTGTGTTTGCACATATGATAGAGGACCTGTTAGTCAAAATGGAGCGTCTCATCATGAATTAAGTAGCACTTTTTTAAGAGTTTCCTTGCTGAAGAAACTATTTTATGAAATCTCTTAGCTTCTTGAAAATTGAAAATTATGACATCATACTTTCTTTTTTTTCCGAACCACCATTTGTAGTCTTTTACTAACCCATGTGTATCATGTCTTATGTAGCTTTTTTTTTTCGTATGGATTTTATGATGTTTTTCGGTGAAAATTTTAAATTTAGTGATGTTTGTCGCTAATCCATTATTAAATTTAGTGACTGAATTTTCATCGGTTATGAAATGTGTTTTTTTTTAGTGGTTTTTCACATAAATTTTTTTTTTGGTAATGTTATGTCTTGAGGTATGTATTTTTTTTTTTACACTCGTTTGCAACGGCTCTATCCTACTTCCTTAAAAAAAAAAAGATCCTTTTTTATTTGGTACTTAAAATGATAGGTTTAATGTCTTTTTCTTCTAAGATGGCTTATATAAAAAAGAACTGGTGTCAAATGTTTTTCATGAAAAGTGAATAGGAGACCTTGTAAGTTGTGGAAAGTTCTTCAGAAGGAAATTTATATTTTCCATAACTTATTGCAATAAATTGATCGTAGGAACACAACAAGAGTATTAAACATAATAGTACCTCTATTTCTAAATATAAGAATTAGTTTGTAGTAAATTACACTGCAAACTAGCTCTTATATTTAGGATTGAATGTATTGTATCATTAGTTGTCTGGCGAAAAATTATATCACTAGTTGGGAAAAACATAATACTGCATGATTAACTAAATCATTACATTTAACAAAACTTCATTGAGTTTTAATAATAGATCATGTACATTACAGATTCTATAAACAGTAGATATTCAATTAAATTTTTTGTCAATGAGATATTCAAACAAAATTTTAATGAAAATATAGATATTTTTTTAGCAAAGAAATTATAGAGATTAAAAATATCCTTTTTGCATCTTTATATTTTGGACTTCAATTTTTTTTTTCTTTAACGTTAGGGTAGTTTAATTTTATACTTTAGGAGAAAAGAATTGATTTTAATAACTTAACTAATTGAATTACTGATTAAGGGAAAAAAGGAAAGGAGGGGGTAATAAAGGAGGGAAAAAGATAAATACTCATTCTATCTCATAAGATCCAAATAAGCAAATTATGTGATATGAAAAATTTGTTAACATTTGTTAAAAAATAAAGAAGTAAGAAATTTATTTATTTTTCAGATATGCCATTAAAGGAAGAGGAATACTAAGAAAAAGATAAAAGAGGATATATCAAAAAAAGATAACGCAATTGATTGTAAGATAATATTGATAAAAATATACTACCTCCGGTCCTTAATATAAGACCTCATTTGACTTTTAGTTTGATTCTAATTATAAGACTCCAATCTATTTTGTCTCTTATATTTATACATTTTTTTCCAAGATAATCCTTCTAACGATGATAGTTCTAGCCAATACACTTAATTAGCAAGGATATTTTAGGAATGACAACATTTATTTATTACAAATAACTAACTTAACTTACTTCTTTAATCTCCTTAAATTAGTCAATTAGGTCTTATAATTAGGACCGAAGGTAGTATTCAACTACTGATTCCGGCACAAAAAGCAAAGGAGGGGTATAAAAAGGGGAAAAAGATACATACCCTTTGGTCCTTATCGAACTGTGTAATTTAAAAATTTTGTTAATATTAATTAAAAGTAACAAATAAGTAAAAATTTATTTTTGTAAAACATGTCATTATTTACAAAAGGGTAAGTGAAAAAGAGGAATACAAAAAAAAAATATGAAAAAGAATATAGAAGAAAAAAAATCATCCAATTAATTAGAGGGTAAAATTGATTAAAAAAAGACATTTAATGTTCAGACAACAACTCAACGACTCCAAACAATGTCTTCTAAAATGAATCAGACCAGTTCAAAAATTTAGATATCATGTAAAAAAGAGCTAATAACTTTCTGGGATGTGATAAATCCTTGGCAACAGCTGCAGGCATCTATGTTGCCATTTTATTGTTTCTATGTGAAGTACAGATATAATAACTACCTATACTTAAAAAAAGAAGATTTAAACATAACAATGATAATGATGAGAGAATTAAAACATGGAGGCATCGTCCATATATATGTATATATAGAAACATACTGAAGAAAAAGTAATTATACATGATGATCAGTATTTACAGATGAAGAGAAGTATCAACATCAACATCTGAGTGCTCAAAATTTGATGTGGAAGCTGCCTGTTCGTGATGACGGCCTTCCTTGCTGGGTTGACTAAGGCCCAGAGAAAGAGATCCATGAACCAAACTTGGTTGCTGTGATGATGCCTGAAAGTGCATAGCAGAAGGGGAGGAGGAAGAAGAAGAATCCGAAGAAGAAGAGAAGAGCTTAAGGAGCTCTTTGCCTTCTCTCCTTTCCTTCACCTTCTCCAACTGCCTGAACCTTTCTTGCAGGAGAGCAATGGAGGAATAATTCACCATGGTGGCATCTTGAAGATGCTGCTGATGATCTTGCCGGCGACCCATTTTTGCAGCAGTTATTTTATGCTTTTGAGAGTATGATTTCAATTCAATGTTGCTTTATGATCGATGACGGATGGATATAGATATATTTAATTCGGTGGGTTTGGCTGTTAGTGGCTTGGAAGTGGTATATAATTACAACATGAATCAAATTGGGCTTGCCTCTTTCTTTGTAATGTCCCAACCTCGTAAATATTTTTTTTTCTTTGTTTTTTTGCTAAGCATAGATATTCTTTTATTGAAGATAATCATGTTTGATGTATTGTCAGGCACTAAATATGAGAACCTTTTCCAAAAGAAATTTAAACATTAATTCGCCATGTTATAAGGAACTAGCTCTTTTTGTTAGACTCAACCTTCGTTAATTTTTTTTTCCTTTTGATCATTAAATCTACATAAAATGAGTGACTCCAGATAAAATGATGCAATTTTGAATTTTTTTTTCAATTTTCTAAAGAACAATAATATGAAATTATGTATTTTTATTCCTTTAAAATTAGAAAAGAATCGAAATTGCGTCATTTTATCCCCATAACATATCAAGAAATTACTAATATCTAGAATCTAATGATCAAAATCAAAATGAAAAGAAATTCAAAAAGTTAGGATATTACAAATGGTATTAGAAAGTAATAGAGAGGCTTCAAGCTTGATCAATATTTTTTTAATGTCACTCACAGTATCCTCAAGTCACTTTGAATTTGAAATTAATCTCTGTTATAGGTTAATGTTAAAGCCTTTCTAATAAATACATTTTTCACAATATGAACTTATATTTTTTTTAATTATGATAATGAGACCGTATACCATCTTAATGAATAGTTTGCTAGTAAACTGACCAAATTTTAGGTGTTGAGCATTGATGGTTAGCATATGGTGGGTTGCAGGTGATTCCGCATGAAGTAGAATCAAGCTGCTGTCTCGCATAAAGCCAAACGCTAGCGTCTAAGAGAGCAAGTCCAGGCCAAGGCAGAAAGAGTCGCTCCATGTGTGGCCAAAAGCACTTTTTCAAGCCGCATAACTTCATCTGAGTCCTTCCAAATCCATCATGCAGACTAGCTTTTGGCAGAACGCTTTGTGTGGAATCAATAATGCTTCCCTATTATTCTTATCTCAATTCTTTTCTTTTCTTTTTTCATTTCCATTGCCCTATTACCTATATATCTTCTCCGATTTTATTGATTTTAATATATGCATGCTTCTGATATATTTAATGCTTTTCAACAAAATCAAACTTATTATCTTAAAAATATACTCTCTTTATCATCCATGTTTTCTAATTATATAAAGCAAGTTTAGTTCCATAATACTGCCTCTAGTTCTTAATATAAGAACTAGATAACTCATTTGTAAATACTAAAAAAATTAGTTAAGTTAATTATTTGAATAAATAGATGTTGCCCTCTCTAAAATATCCTTATTAATAATGTGCATTTGACTTACCCCTTCCTTAACATGTGCAATCATTATAAGGATTATTTAAATGCAAAATGGATAAATATTAGAAACATGGTGGATTGAGGTTTTATATTTAGGATTAAATTAAATCCGGTTATATTAATAATCAAAGGTAGTATTAAAGTATGAGACATTGCTTGCTTGGCTAATAACGCTACATTTATTTATATAACTTTTTCCTGCGTAGTTGAATGTGCGGTTCTTGTTTTGGAGCTTGAAGTGAAGGGTGGAAATTATGGTGTAGAGAAAAGACAAACAAGTTTGGCAAGGAATATTTTTTCCTTTTGGAGATTGCCATCAAATGATTATGACCTGTTGCATTACCAGCCAATCGTTAAAAGCTCATGAACCAATCACACAACAACATCAAACATTTGACAAACAAAACCATACAAAGTCTTGGGTTTGTACTATTTGTTTAAGAAGGACACAGTTTGCCTTATGTCATTGTGAGTTTTGCAAGTATGATATTAGTGTATACATAGTGACATCCTATACAGTGTCTAATACTCTTCTCGTCCTAAATAGTAAATATATGAGCTATTTAGAAGTCAATTTTGGTCCTAAATATAAAATTTTAATCTATTTTATCTATCATATTTATTATTTTTTTTCAAAGTAATTGATTTAACTTATAAATTGATATATAATCTAATAACATATTCAAATTGCAAATGATCTGATAACCCAATGACATGAAAAGTTGAATACTTTCCTGGAAGTAGGAGAACGCGTGTTCAATCCCTCTTATAACATTATGCCATTAGTGTCTACTTCTGTAATTAAAAAAAGAATAACATATTCAAGTTAGAGCATCGAAGATGGCAACTAAGTTCTACGTGGCAGACAAGGTGATATTATAGATGGCAACCACGTCATAGGTGGCATTTACAGTCAATAATGGGCATGTCATCCAAAATGCAGTCCATGTAAGACGGAAATCATCCTCATGGCATCAAATGCATAATGACTAAAAGACAAATAAAGGGTAAGAGATTCAAGAACCTGGAGAAAACATTTGGGTTTCAATTGACTATAATATAGGCCCACGATGTTAATATACATGTGGATTGTACAGACAAGTCTTTAATTGAATGAAACTCTATTGAATCTGAGAAATTCTTTAACTAGTTGGAATAAGGATGTGTTTGGCTATGTTGAGAAAAGGAAAAGAAATATTCTAGCTAGATTTGGTGGGATTCAAAGCTCTCCCTCCTACTTTCTTTCTCAGTTCTTGTGTAATCTAGAATATAATCTTCAAACTGAACTTGAGGATATTTTAAGGCTAGAGGAAGTTAAATGGTTTCAAAAATCTAAATCTGATTGGGTCTCAAAAAGAGATAGAAACACGTGATATTATCATTCGAAAACTAGCATAAGAACGAGGAAAACTAAAGTGCTGTCTTTGAAAAATGAAAGCAATGAATGGATTGATGATGCTGATCATCTCAGAATTCTAGTTATTAATTACTCCTCCGGTCCTAAATAGGTCATTTGCACTACAAAATGGGTCTTATATTTAGCACCGGAGGAGTATTTTAAAAAAATTGTTTTCATGATGAGGGTGGATCTTCTTACGTTCTGCAGTTTGAAGTTAAGTTTCCTATGATTGATTTTAGACCCATTTCTTTGTGCACTGTTCATTATAATTGTATTACCAAGGTTATCACTAGTAGGTTGAGACTTGTCATGGATGAGTTAATCTCTCCATTTCAAGTTAGTTTCATAAAAGGAAGGCTTAGCCAAGATAATATTATAGTGACTCAAGAAATTTAGCATATAATGAAGACTCGAAGAAAGAAAGGACTTATGGCTTGGAAGCTTGATTTAGAGAAAGCTTAAGATTGAATTAGATGGGATTTCTTACATCAAACTCTTACTGAAGTTGGGATGGAGACTAATTTTATTAATTTAATCATGACTTGTGTTTCTTTAGTCTCTTATAATATGTAGTGGAATGGGTCTCAAACTTAATTTTTCTCTCTCATAAGAGGTCTCCAACAAGGAGATTCTATCTCTCATCTATTTTTTGTTCTTTGTATGGATAGACTATCTCATATTATATGTGAAGCTATTAATAGATGAAATTGGAAACCAATAAAGGTTTCGAACAAGGGACTATCTATTTCTCATCTTATGTTTGCAGATGATCTTCTCCTTTTTGGAGCAGCAATTTGTAGGAAAATGGACTAGTCCGCCCTTGGTGGATTGGACCCAAGCCTCTTAATTTTGGGACTCTTGTTTAAATAACAGGACATTTGGGTCCGAAATTGCGATTTTCTCCTTTTTTGTTTAAACGGAAGATTGGAGGGAACAATTAACATAAATAGGGTATATGGAGGTAGTTTTTCCTTAATTGAATATCAATTAGGAAAAATTGCCTCACGCACCCCCTTTTCCCTCTTTGAGTTCGCCTTCCCCCTTTAGTTCCTCTCTCTCCTAGTGTGCATTTGTTGTGAGACATCAGATCCAAGTTCACTAAAGTAATTGAACCTCTGCGTGGCTATCTGAATTTGATCCGCTCTCTAGGTATGCTCGGAATCCTATATTGGTATCAGAGCTAGGTTATTCTGTAGGCTGTGGTTTTTTTTTTTTCAGAGCCCTGTGTTCATTTTTTATTACTCCATATGCTTATTTCCTTAAGTAACAGTTCAGATGTGATTTGCTTCATAATATATTATGCAAATCCTTTCATTTACTTTCAATATGATTATTTTGTGACTTGTATTTGTAAGTAGTCATATTTGGTTGTTCTTTGCCTCCATGAAACTTGTTTTATACCATAAGCGTTTTTAGCAATATCTTATTTTTGGTTTTAGGTCCCTTTAAAATTAAGTTTTTAGGCTCCAAAACCTATCTAATTATGTAGAGGATAAAAAAAATGAAGAAAACAATATAAAGTATGTGAAATTTGGATGTCAGACAGAGGAGATATGAAGGAGAGAAGTTTTGGGTCTGACAGGTTCGTTAGACTCGACCTACTTGCAGAAACAGGGTCAAGGCGATTGGGCTGCAGGTTAAAGATGACCTCCAAGTGAAACAGTGTTGTTTTGCCTAGAGCGGGGGTCTCCCTCCTCTACTTGGCAAAACGTAGTGTTTTGCATAATTGATCCAAAAAAAAAAAAAGGGACGCAGGCCCAAATTCCTTTAGCCTAAACCTAGAAAAAAAACCTGAAAACAAAAAAAAAGGAAAGGAATGGTTAGGCCAGAGGAATGGACCGAGCCCAACAGGTCCAAACCTTTAAAAATAATAAAAATAATTAATTGAAATTAAAAAAGATAAAATAAAATAAAAAAGGAGGCAGAATTGCCACGTGGTGTGTGTTGCCACGTGGCATGCCATTTGGATACATGGGTACCACCGTTTGAAAGGTCATAGTGTGTTGAGGTTGCCAACATGGCGCGTGTTGCTGGTGGTGACTGGGATTCTTTTTTTTTTTTTCCATTTTCTCAGATTTTAGTCTTCTTGAGGCGTATGAGACCTCCGTTTAAGGTGCGGTTTGTCTCCAAAAATCCCTAAATTCATAAGTTTCATTATGATATTTATAA